CGATGGCTGTTCATGTTGGAGGGGCAGCGCCTATCAATGCCGTCAATGCTGTCAATGCCCAGACCGAAGATGGCGCAGCACGTGGATATGGAACTACCTTTATCTTTGTAATTCGCACAGTGGTCAGCGTCTTTCTTCCCCTTTTTTACTACTATTTGGTACTCTGTCTACAGTGCGTGTACTCTCGTCTGAGGTCCTGCACGAACGTGGCACTGGGTCATCTCGAGCGGGACCGCGATGACTAAACCCCTGAGCGAGGCGATATGTATGTCAGGTTTGAGTGTGTCCCGAGATAGAACTGTGACTACGCTATTGGCTGCACGGCTGCTTTTCTTGGGACATATGACACGGCTGGCCCTACGTAAAGCATGCTTCCAGAGTGTAACGGGGGACGGCGGATATCGCACTACCCTAGACCGCCAGCTCATGAGTACAGTGAAGTTCCGATCTTGATGCTTGAAGCTACACCCGACAGGAGATTATTAGCTCTGGGGCCGGATACGACCTATTTTTCTCATCATCTAAATTCACGAGGGGTTTTCGTACGGACGGACATGGGAAATCACGGCGAGTGCCCCAGAAGCCACTTGTGCCCAACATGCCATCAGTTGGTTACACGGCCCTCAGAATCAAAGCCGATCGCACGCTGCAACAGCAGATTGGATGTTATTGATATTCGAGTGAAGCATCTCCAGTAACTTTAGGTGACTTGACTGCATGATCGGAGTGCGTAATAGACAGACGTTCAGGTGGTCGAGGTCGCTCCGCGCTAAAAGGGGGTTGATACCTGACATTCCAGGCCCAGGGAACCCGATCTCATTGGCCCATGCACAGGTGCCAGCCTGGCACAACCCATTGCGATCAGCCAGTGTGACAACGGCTGGGACACATTGGACACATTTTCGACGAAGCTCCCTTGTTCGACTTCGAGCCAAACGTAGTCTCGCTGCCAACCCGAGCATCGTCTGCGCCCGCTGCCGATTTGCCAACCTGCCACTCTGTCGATGCCGCAGCGCCATCCTGCTCTCTCCGTGCGAGTCCTGCCGTTACAACCCCTTGAATAAATTGCGCCAACTCTTCTCATCACGCATTGTCCATACACTCGCATGGTGGCTGCCACGATATCAACAACCCCGTCCTTTCCACCCCGCCAGCGACACAACTTCCTCGTCCCTGCCGACTGCTTCGACCCTGGCGACAGCCATTGATCGTGTGCGATACATATTGGCATCATGAAGCTCGACGTCAAGGTTAGTTGCCTGTTTAAATACTGTAATGGACCTCTTCTGCGGACGCCAAAAGCTGGACCTCGAGCTCCCTGGTTCACTCCGCACTTCCACTGCCTCTCGCGGCCAGAAATTATCTTTTCGGAATAGACCACAGACGTAGGAGCAAAAATCGCTGACCTGGAATTGTGTTGTTTATAGCGTCAGCTGTATGCTCGCAGTGAGCGAGTGAAAGGCGTCGACTTCCACCCCCAGGAGCCATGGATCCTCACCACACTCTACAGCGGTAGGCATTTAACCCCCATATAGGCACGACCAATCGTCCCCCCCGAACTTGCGTATACTTATTCTTCTCCCCAATCCTAGGCCATGTCTACATTTGGTCGTATGAGACTCAGCAAACGGTCAAGACTTTCGAGCTTACCGAGGTGCCTGTTCGAGCTGGTCGATTCGTCGCACGCAAGAACTGGATTGTCTGCGGCTCAGATGATTTCCAAATACGCGTCTACAATTACAACACGTCGGAAAAAGTGGCACAATTCGAGGCACACCCCGACTACATTCGCGCAATCGCGGTTCATCCAACTCTTCCATTCATCTTGACCGCCTCTGACGATATGACGATTAAGCTCTGGGATTGGGACAAGGGTTGGAAGTGTGTTCAGGTGTTCGAGGGCCACAGCCACTATGTCATGGGTATTGCCATCAATCCCAAGGATACAAATACTTTTGCCTCTGCGTGCTTGGATCGAACTGTCAAGATATGGAGCTTGGGCTCGTCAACCGCCAACTTCACATTGGAAGCTCACGAGAGCAAGGGCGTGAACCACGTCGACTACTACCCTCACTCCGACAAGCCTTATCTTCTCACTACTTCTGACGATCGAACTGTCAAGGTCTGGGACTACACCACCAAGTCCCTGATTGCCACGCTCGAAGGCCACACCAACAATGTCTCCTTTGCTTGCTACCACCCAGAACTTCCCGTCATCGTTTCCGGTTCCGAGGACGGGACCATCCGAATCTGGCATGCCAACACCTATCGATTCGAGCAATCTTTGAACTACAGCCTGGAGCGCGCTTGGTGTGTCTCTTACCAGAAGGGCAAGCAAGGAATTGCTGTCGGCTACGACGATGGTGCTGTCGTGGTCAAACTGGGCCGAGAGGAGCCTGCTGTCTCTATGGATGCGTCTGGCAAGCTTATCTGGGCCAGACATAACGAGGTCGTGTCTTCCATCATCAAGGGAGATGCCTCCCTCAAGGACAATGATCCCATCTCGCTCCCCACCAAGGACCTTGGAACTTGTGAAGTGTACCCTCAGACTTTGATTCACTCGCCAAACGGCCGTTTTGTCGCAGTTTGTGGCGATGGCGAGTATATCATCTACACAGCTCTAGCATGGCGCAACAAGGCGTTCGGATCTGCCTTGGACTTTGTCTGGGGCTCCAAGGAGAACAGCAACGACTTTGCCATTCGCGAGTCAGCAATGAGTGTCAAAATTTACAAAAATTTTGTTGAAAAGAGCGGCGGTCTCGATGTCGGCTTCCAGGCTGATGGTCTTACCGGTGGCATTCTTCTGGGTGTTACTGGCCAGGGTGGCATCTCATTCTTTGACTGGGCAACTGGTGGCTTGGTGCGAAGAATTGAAGTCGAGCCAAAACATGTTTACTGGTCAGAGAGTGGAGAATTGGTTGCCATTGCTTGCGAAGACAGCTGCTATGTCCTGAGATTTTCTCGAGAAAGCTATATCGAAGCTGTCCAGTCCGGCCAGATAGAGGATGACGGGGTTGAGTCGGCCTTCGAGGTCATTACTGATATTAGCGAAACGTAAGTCTGGACTTGAAATCAAACGAAGAGGACCCAGGGTGGCTAATGATTGAATTACAGTGTCCGAACTGGTGAATGGGTTGGAGACTGCTTCCTCTACACCAACAGCACCAACCGCTTGAATTATTTGGTTGGCGACCAGACGTACACCGTATCACATTTTGACAAGCCCATGTATATCCTGGGCTACATCCAGCGAGACTCCAAAATCTATTTGGCCGACAAGGATGTCAACGTCACATCGTTTGGCCTCTCACTTCCCGTTCTTGAGTACCAGACTTTGGTTCTTCGAGAAGACATGGAAACGGCTGCCGAGCTGCTACCCACCATTCCCAACGATCAGCTTAACAAGATTGCGAGATTCCTCGAGGGACAGGGTCACAAGGAGCTGGCGTTGGAAGTTGCCACGGACCCTGAGCACAAGTTTGATCTTGCACTGGCATTGAACCAGCTGGATACGGCCCTGGAGCTGGCCCGCGCCGCTGATGTGGAGCACAAGTGGAAGACAGTGGGAGATTCTGCCCTGGCTGCATGGGATGTGGCTTTGGCCGCTGAGTGCTTTACTCACGCCAAGGATCTGGGCTCACTGCTTCTCCTCCACTCATCTACTGGTGACAGGGAAGGCCTGGCAACTCTTGCGAAGCAAGCACAGGAAGCGAACTCTCACAACATTGCCTTTTCTTGCTCATGGCTCTTGGGTGACGTCGACCAGTGCGCCGACATTTTGACCAAGACGGGACGACTGGCCGAGGCTGTTCTTTTCTCACAAACATACAAGCCGAGCTTGACCAAGCCCATTGTGAAGGACTGGAAGGAGAGTTTGGAGAAGTCTAAGAAGGGCCGAGTAGCGAAACTTGTTGGAGTTCCCGAGGATGACGGTGACTTGTTCCCTGAATGGGATGCGTGGCTAAAGGCTGAGACTGAGGGCGGCTCAGCAGCGAATAATTTGGCGGAAACAAACGGCGAGCAAGACGAAGCTGGGACCGAGAAACAAGAGAAAACGGAGGCAGAGGCGGAGGAAGAGGGAGAGGGCGAGGAAGAGGAGTAAAAAGGAGGGGTTCAAATAGGCGAAATGATCGTATGAATTTCTTTTTGTTAGATGCAGTGGCAGAAAAAGGTCAATAGAGTCCTGGTGTGCCCGCTGTGGTGGCATGGGATGATTCAACGTAATTCAACAAGTTAAAACGGACAATTCCAGCGAGGTGCCAGCGTGTGTGATGATGTATTGCAATGCAAGGGAAAGATGATGGGCTCATACACCATAGTTTGGTTGAGAGTACCCGAGTCGATGCTTGTTCACGACTCCTATTCGGCTGGCTCCAAAAGGATGCCCTCGTTCGAGGCGTTTGAGGCGTTTGAGGTGTTCGTTGGCAAGTGAGCGATTGGCCGTGAAGCAGATTACAACTTCAGAGTGTTTCGCCCAACAGGATACTAGAACAGATCCTTCTCTACCCGCACGTGTCTTGTAATGGCTACTTGAGTACACTTGTTATCCACCTGGGGAGACGTCTAGCTCTCATTAATGCATTTATTAAATGTTTCTTGGGCGACAAGGCCTGTTGACGCCTTATTCGCTTACAGCATGACGAAATTGAAGCTTGGCCAGTACGCAAAACAGCCGTTGTCCCTGTGATTTAGAAGACGAAATACAATACCCCGCCTTTATTATCATAATGTTTGATACCGCATACATTGATAACCCGTCAGATCACTAGCACTAACACCTGATTCTCAAATCCTGTCCCATTGTTCAGTGTTCACCAAGGAATCAAGTGCATCAGAAACTCTCCGATATCCCGACAAGACGGTAAATTCAGCCCCCCTGCCACGCTACCATTCTTCTATTTACACTGGGCATAAAATACAGACGCCGTAAAATACAACGCCATCCTCTCAGTCGCCCGCTGCCACGCCCCATCCCCCCTGATCATCTTTCCATCCCCGTTTTACAAGGCAGCCAGGGCGAAGCCGGCGGCGGCAACGGCAGCAAAGGCCACGCCGGTCTCGCGGGAAGCACCTCCAGTCTTGGTAGGCTGGCTGGCGCCGGTGGCAGAGCCGCCGGTGGCAGTGGCCTGGGTGGGCAGTGGCCTGGGTGCCGCTGCCGCTGCCGGCCTTGCAGTCGAGGGGGCTCTTGGCCGTGACCTGCCCGGCGCCGGGGCACTTGGCCAGGTCGCTGGAGTGGGCTTTGACCCAGGACGAGGCCGACGAGGTGTAGCTGGACCAGTCCTTGCTGAGGCTGGCGGGGATGGAGATGGAGCAGTAGTCCTTGGGGGGGTTGGACGTCCACTCCTTGACCAGGTCGGGGGGCGGGGTTGGAATCGTCTTGAGGAGGTCGAGGCATTGGGTGGCCGCGCCGAGGTCAGTCTGACGGGGCTGGAGGTTGGCCGCGAAGGCGGTGCCGGCGAGGGCGGCGAGGACGGTCTTGGTCTGCATCGTGGTGGGTTGGGGGGACCTTGGCGACGGAGCCCGCAAGCAATTATGGTATAGAAGATGGTGTCAAGTATTATATGGATAGGGGGGAAGAAAAGGGGGTAAGTGCTGTCGTTGCTGGGGGAAGGCGGACTTTATATAGGGGTCCGGGTTGGGAGCAGCTCAACACCATGGGGTCCGCCGTTTGGACTGCCAGCGTGTCTGCCTCTGCCTCCGCCGTGCTAGACAGGCTATGGAGTACCGGAAACTTGGCTCGGGGGTCCGAAGCGGAAATCACTAGATGGCATCGTCCGTGGAGGGGTGTGGTACTCCTCTTGACGGGACGTGGTGGTGTCTTGATATATCCTCGGGGTTTGTCATTTTGCACCCAAACTGCCAAATACACGGGGCGTGTCAGCTCAGAGTTTACTCCCGGAAGAAGGAAAAAACAGGATCAGCCTAGCTGTGGATATTTCGATCTACGGAGCATGAGGCATGACTTGCACAACCCCAGCTTGTGCTTGACGAGGCCGCCCCCCTATCAAAGCGTGTAAGTCGAACAACCATCGTCACAGGCTACTTGGAAACACGGCGTGTTTTTACCCCGGACAGGGCCAAAGCAGGCACCACACGTAGTCAGCGTGCTTGGTTGGCGATATTGCGGTGCAAGCCATGCCACGCCTAGCTCGACGCCAGGTTTTCCAGCCGCAGTCTATACTGGGGTTTTGCTCAAGGGTCATTCCCGGTAACGCTGTGCCGGGAACGGTGCTGTGCTTCAAGACTGCTATTATTACTTCTTCCCCGTGGCGAAGCAGTGGAAATTGGTCTGGAGGCCAGTCGATCCTTTGAGCCATGACATTCGCATACATGGCCTCGTGTTTGACAGCCACGGTCAGCAGGTGGGCATTGTACGTTGGTATGCCATATGTGTATGCAATAGTCCTCCGTGGACGTCCATGTTTCCAGCCGAGTTGGATACCGCTCGTCCCTCTCGCCTGCGCGGCTCCGTCTCAGTCCTGACGGCCAGTCTGCCCTGTTCCAGAGAGGCAATCGAAACCTGGCGACTGCCGGGTCAGCCTTACCTCGAATGCAGGGGCACTTGGTTGATGGAGGGTCACCAAGCGGCGAGCTGATTCTAATTGTGGAGAAGATTGAAAAGTCAAGACGTTATGTTGCCCGCGGTGGTTTGTGCCTTTTTGACATTCGGACCAATGTGGTTTGGCGTAGAGACGTTCCCCTTTTTTGGACAATGGGAAATTACGCCCAACTGGGGCAGCAGGCTAACTTCTGCCTTTGTCCGCCATCGTATTTCGTGTTTGCTTCAACAGCACAATTTGCTGCTGGATCCGGGTCGAGCGTGGACAAGCTCTTCGGTCAACGTGTTGCTATTACATATCAACTGTTGTCTAGTTTCCATTGAGCCAATTTCCATGAGCACCAATTCCTCGTTTAGCATTGACTTGTTCAGGGGAGCCCTCCGACAGCGCAGAGTTTGATGATTGTGCAAGATGCGGCTTTGCTGTCAACAAGCTAAACTTTGTGGTGATTGATGAAGCCTCTTCAGCTCGGTGGAGCGCTTCCCACATGTACATAAGGGCAGATGAACCTGTCAGACTATCGTTATCGATCTCTAGCAATTTATGAGCCGTGCGCTCCAGCTTTCAGCCTGCAATCGGGGACGGCCGTACTGTGAACCGGCTACATGTACATACATGTATGTATCTACTAAATAAGTAGTGCCTGGTACGCGAACGTATTCTGTGATTCAGCTGGCTCACTACGGGGCATATGATTGGTGTGGAGCTAGCCCCACTTGGACAAAAGAGGACTGGAGCTGATGACCCAACCATCAGAATTCATCCCGCCATCGTCATTTACTAATCGTCCTCACTACAATTCACAACCCAGGCAAGAAGCTGGACATGGATCTTCAGCGCCTAACATCAAACTTCTTGATTGGAATATTGGATTATATTCTGCGACCAGAACCCCGACCGCCTTTCGAAGACCACCTAGAATTACTGATATTCCATTTTAACCGCTGTCGCAACCTAGAATTTACGGTGATACACGACGTGGACGTTGTTTTTGTCGAGATTCTTCGAACCGCCAAAGTACTGGATGACGGTCTTCGGTCTAAACTCAATGGCTTAGTCAATCTTCGGCGACCAGTAGAATTCATACTTGACGATACCCAACGTATCATGCACCGCCTCTCCATCAACATTGATGCGTACTACCTTGGTAGGAACCCTGCTTATACGGGCCCGGTAATGACAAAACTCTTGACTGAGGTCAGTGAGATTGCAAAGGCTGTTTTCAAATTTAACACGGAAGACCTTTACTCTTGTACGGGGCTCTACGAAATTGTCGCCGTTGGTTTATTAGTCCGTCTCCGCATCTCCTTCACTTCTATATTTGGCTTTAAGGAACTTCCGCAGTTTGATCTCCAAGGCATCACAGTCTGTAAGTATTCCAATACCTGAAGTTACAAAGCTGATGCATTTTAGATCAACTTGGAGTGCTGTGGCGTTCTGATTTCGCCGATTTCATTCCCAAAGGCTCAGTCTCCTTGTTCTTTTCGAGTATTGAGTCAATTCAAGATCCGGCGTAAATCAGAAACCTATTGCTACCTGAGGGACTATTGCACACAACTACTTGTACTCCCGTCTGTTTTTACCCCATGTAACGTACTTTTGAGCTAGTAATTTAATTAGAATAACTATATCTTTATTCTTTAATCTTTAATTTTTTTTTCTTCTTTTCTGTATTTAAACATAATGCACCTCTTTCCGTTGACGAAGGAGATAATATCTATTACATATATACATTGTATTGTACATCAAAGACCCCTGATTATGGGGACGGATCACGCACTGGGGAAAAGAATTGTCAACGAGGATGATGTCAGCAACTATGTGATATTGGCTGCAGCTATCAAACAGCAAGCTGTATTGGCCGCGTTACAAGAATTCAAATAGCTGCTGCAGGCAGCTTGCTTCCAACTATAAGAAGGTCTAAATAACCCAGCTAGTCATCTCAACTCAAGGACCAATTCACTGTTCAATTGACCCATAGCTAGCTGCAGCTTCGATAGTTGTGATAATAATAGTTAGCACCATGCGATTTAAAAGGTTTTGTTGTTACCTACACTACCAATTGCACTCATTCGATATAGACATGTTAGCTTCTTACTTCCCACCTCTCTGTAAGGTTGATTCTGAGCGTTTAGGTTCTATCGTTTCGAATGTTTCCACAAACCCATATAAGGGCAGATGAACCTGTCAGACTATAGGGACTGTGCGTCGCTAAACTGATGTTGAGAGACTTGTTCGCTGGCACCGATTCCAAGGAGCCAGTTTATTCGGGGACAAAGCGGTCCCATCCAGTCAACCTCGTTGGACTGTTGATGATACTTCATTATGCCGCGTGATAACTAGAGACCTGATCTGGTTGAGGACTTGTTGCACATGTAAACTTGTGACGCCTACTGGTCACCAAAAACATCAATCTGCCGAGCCATAATCTCATTTTCTGTTTCCGACTCTGAAGATGAACTTGATGCCCAGGATTTCCCACATGGCCGTTGCGCAGATACAAGGCAAACTGGTCAAGCTCTTACCCTATACGACCGTCATCAGAGCTTGCGGGAAGCCGATGATGAACAAAATCCGGTCTAGAGAAGGCGAAAAGAGCTCTTCTTGTTCACTACCTCAGCAGAGCCAGCACCGGCCAAGAGTGCCTTTTTGTGGTACAATTTCGACTAGGACTAGGAAAGACAACGCATTCGCTGCGGCCGGTCGATAGTGGGAGGCAGAGTATTCGTTGTCTCTTAGAATTAGCCAAGACCACTGCGGACCAATTACTGCCAACTCCATCCCCATGACCGTTCCATGTCAGGACATTACCAATCCTCCCATTCGTCGCCGTTTTCCAAATCCCCAACATGCTCAATACCTCATCCCAACGTTATTTGACTCGTGTCGAGCCCAAACCCGTGATTTATAGCCAGCATAAACTGCCCTGACTTTCACATACGACCATAGCCGCTAGCAAAGCTTAGGAGCCCGTCTGATCTCCCTGAATAACCTAGCGAGCGCTGGATTAGTAGTTGGGTCGGTGACGACCAGCGAATACCCAGTGTTGTATGTGATTTTTTTAGTTATTTAGTATTTTTTGCTTAACCTTAGAAAAATCAAGACAGTCACACTATTAATGCAGGCGTCGCAGCCATGAATAAATGGAGAACTACTTTCCATCTCTGAGAACTATGAATTGCTCGGCGGGCTTACTC